AAGTTGTTCCCCACCATGATCGTGTTCTGCGTCGGCAGCGGCATCGCTTGTCAGTTGTTGAAGTTGAAACGTCATCGGGCATATTAACCGTAAAAACTGGGGTAGGTGGAGTTATGGGGGATCCCTTCAACGCGCGTGGGTTCTCAGGCGCGTTCACTGCTCCTGTCCAACAGTGGGCCGACGAGATCAGGTCCCAGCAGCCGTCCACGTGTCTTCTTGAAGCCCAGTGGTGCGGACGGCCGGTGGACATGTCGCATCAGAAATATGCTGATTACCTCTTGCGCGCCCTGTTGTTCCCTGTCGGCGCGCCCATGGAAGAGGTATTCTCACAACTCCACGAGGCAGATCGGATTCTGGGCGAGGCGTTGCGCCCAGCTGGCTATGTACAAAATCGACAAAAACAGAGTACTAGCTTTTATGTGAGAAATAGGCGCATCAACATGTAAAAAAAAAAAAAAACATAAGGGAGGAGGGGGTTAAGAAGAAGAGATTACATGGGCCTGTATGTGATGTAGCGCGCTATCTCAGACCAGTGACTGCCCCTACCCAAGCATCTGCACCTGCAGTTGAAAGGCGTCTGGTTGCTGCCACGTCAGCGTATTATAGTATGGGCTCGTTCTGGGCTATGCGATCCCCGAAGCGGTGGGGGAGAATTATTTTGGTCGGACTTGTGCAAGGCTCCCTACTTTCGGGCATGGAGCCGTTCATCTTGAACGAGAACCAGCTGAGTGCCATGGATCGTCACTTGGCTCGTCTTGGTCGTTCAGCGATGCAGGGCCTTGCGTGCACGGAGAGAGAAGATGGTTCGAAGAGATCGTTGTCCACCGAAGAAGTATTGCAGTATTGGGATCTTGCCACTTGTTCGATCGAGCTTTTAACTAGGAGACTGGCGCGGTATCAGTTTTGGGCCTCTGCGCAGGATGACCTTGTGCAGATCTTGACAGCATTGTTTGCTGGCCTCCCTTTTGAACAGAATGATCGCTGGCCTTGTTCGGAGTCAGGACTCACGGAGTGGGCGTCACCATGGACTCCACGTGTCGGTCTCGATGGTAAGGGGGCCTCCCGTGCGTGCCCTGACCACGAAGAACTACTAGAACGTATTTCTACCTGCCCCTGGTTGTTGATCGAGGGTGAGGAAGTGATGAGGGGGTTTAAGTGTGTTGACTTTCGTCGGGTTCGTGATTGCCGGAAGTCGTTCGAGGTCCCCCCGCCAGAGTGGAGCCCCCCTGCCATGCCGACTTTGAATATGGAAGCAGACACTGAAACCGATCTCTCGTTTAAGTGTACAGCGTCAGGTGATGATGGGCAACAATGTCAACACGTTTTCAGCACTGCCAAAGGCCTTATGAATCATCTACGAGCACAGCACCACATCAGGAACCTAGGCCACGTCCTGATCAAGACTAACCAGCGCCCGATTTGAGATCGAGTATCTCGGTTTAAAGTTACAGCATCCCGCCACCGACATCATGCATTATTAAGAGGATACTGTGGGAGATGTGAGCCTGAGTCTATTACCAATTTCATGGTTCCTGATGATTTTCGCTGTGAGGTTTGTCCTTTCGAGGGGGAGAATTACCAGGCCTACAGTAGCTAGTTGTTGTCACCTTCCGTGGGGAATCTTGCGGGATCGACCTGCACCTACACGTTTCTGCGCGAGCTTCTCTGTCAGGCGTAGCCATGGCGGAGACCGCGACGCCGTCGTGGATGAAGAGGCCCGCGGCGGAGGCCCTCGGATCGGCGCCTGCTCGCGGCCAGAAGGTCGCCAAGGCGGCGGGCAAGGGAGGAGGGGGCGGAGGTCGCGGCCCCAAGGACGACTACCGCATGCTGGTGATCACGCTCGCGAAGCTGGTGCTGACGGGCGCCCGCCAGATAGCGACGCTGGAGTCGGCCGTGTACGAGAGCTGCTTCGCGTCAGAGGACGGCGAGGAGACGATCGGGCACGCGCGCCGCGTCGCGGGGGCCGACTACGAGAAGACCTCTGGCGAGCTGAAGCAGAAGCGGAAGAACGGCGAGGCGGTGGACTTCCGCTCGAGGGGCGCCCCGCACGCGCGCGCGTTCATCAACGGGCTGCGTCGCATCCTGGAGCTCGCCAAGGCGTGGGCGGCCCGCGCGGGCGAGAGCATTCACGGCCCCATCAAGGAGTACTGGGAGACGGTGGTCTTGCACAAGGCGCCGTCCGAGATCGGCGCGGACGCCCCCCACTTCCGCTGCGAGAAGGCTCGGAAGGACAGCGCCGACGCGAAGGGGATCCTCAGCATGGCGGCGTGCACGAAGAACCCCCTCGTGAGTGCGATGTGGGCGGCCGCCCTCGGCTACATGGTCAGGGCCCAGAAGATCGAGAGGGTGGCGGGCCCAGCACCCAAGGGGCCCTTGGAGCGCGAGGCATCGCGCATCGCCACGGAAATGCAGCAGAAGTGAGTAGTCAGTGGATGCAGCAGAGTGATCGTCTGGCCTCCTTGATTCGGAGGGGCCTCGTACCATCTAGCGTTCTCGCTCCGCCATCTCCTCGCCTCGTCTCTTACTCCTCTGCACATTTGCCCACTGCCCCCACTGTCTTTGCCCCTCCCACGCCTCGCCCCAAGACAAGAGGGGGCGCGGCAAAAAGGGGGGGGTCTTGAGCCACTGCCGACTACTCATGCCGATGCTACGCCGATGCTCCCCCGTCCCACGAAAGGGCGGGGGGGGGGCACTCTAGGGGCGCAGTGAATGCGGGGGCCCTGCGCCCTCCGATGGGGAGGAATCACGCACAGATGGCGAGCAGGTTCGCGAGGCCAGACATCTCGTGGGACGGGGGGTGGTGAGCTGGGCGGGGCGGGCGAAGGCTCTGCTTGAATCGCTGGCCCCCAAGGGGCATCCGCCAGGGCCGCGCGCCCGAACGGCGGTCGCCCTGGAGGGGCTGCGCGGGCGGTGTTCGAGGGGGCATGGTGGCCAGCACGGTTTCCATGAGAGAGTAGATTGTCGCGCAGGCGACGCTCAGAAGTCCAGAGCCGCGGCGCTTTCGAGGCTCGGACTTCCCAGGGCGAACTGAATTGAACTGAACTCCTCCTCGTCCTCCTCCCCCTGCCCCCCCTCCTCCCCATCTTCCCCCCCCCTCCTCTCCCCCCCCCCCTCCTCCTCGCCCCCCCCCCCCCCCCCTGTCACTCCCATCACTTTGGCACGCCTCTCACTCGTTTCGCGGCGCTCTAAGGGGCCCCACCGAAGGCCGCAGTTACACGATTCGCACGCCGCCCCCCTCCATTTTAGGAACCCCCCCGCGCACTTCATGACCCTAAAGGGAGCTCCACCGACGGCACCAGCGACATGGCTCGCATGCCGCCCCCCCTCCAGTTTGGCACACCTACCCCTCGCACGTCACGTGGCTCCATACGTAGTCCCACCGAAGGCTCCTGTGGCATGATTCGCATGCCGCCCCCTTCCGCTTTGGCACACCCCTCGCACGGCTCGTGGCCCCACAGTGAGATCCACCGAAGACCGCAATGGCATGATTCACATGCCGCCCCCCGTCCACTTAGGCACACCCCTCACACGCTTCGCGGCCCCATAGGGAGCTCCACCGAGGGGCCCATTGGCATGGTTCGCACGCCGCCCCCCGTCCACTTAGGCACACCCCTCCACGCGCTTCGCGACCCCGTAGGGAGCTTCACCGAGGGCCCCAGTTGCATGATTCGCATGCCGCCCCTTTCCACTTTGGCACACCCCTCAGACAGTTAGTGTCCCCACGGGGAGCTCCACCGAAGGCCCCGGCGGCGGTTTCGCGTGCGATTCCCCCACCAAGAACAGCGCTTCGCTGCCCCATAGGGAGCCCCATCGACGGCCCCAGCGGCGGTGTTCGCATGCGTCCCCCCCACCGAGCACAGCGCTTCGTGGCCACATAGGGAGTTTGTCTGGAGGCCCCAGTGGCATGATTCGCATGCCGCTCCTCCTCCACCCTGTCGCACCTTTCGCGCGCTTCGTGGCCCCATAGGGAGATCCACCGACAGCCGCAGTGGCATGATTCGCATGCCGCCCCTCCTTCCACTTTGGCACAGCCCTCGCACGTTCGTGGCACCATAGGGGGCTCCACCGAAGGCTACAGTGGCATGGTTCGTATGCCGCCCCCCCTCCACTTTCTGACAACCTGCACAAGTCTCGTGGCTCCATGGGGAGCTCCACCCAAGGCCCTAGCGGATGCGTTCACATGCAGCCCCCATCTCCGCTTTGGCACACCCCTCACTCGTTCGTGGCCCCATGCGGAGCTCAACCGAAGGCCCCAATGGCGGTGATCACATGTTTCTCTCCGTGCCAGGCCCTGGGGCCCTCACATATCGATGTGGCTCGGCAAATGTCGCAGACAGATGGAGTCTAGGACTCCAGTCGTGTTTGTCCGCGATGCCGCATTGTTTCGCAACGTCGGATGTCAGGGAGCAGTTGCACCAAGAGCGTTCCAGGTGTTCGAATCGTCCTGAACGGCCGATGGAACCCGAAATGCAACGCGAAAGTCGAACCTCCCCGCGCTGTAGCGCAATCGCGACGTCGAGGCTTGCGGGGGCCTGCGTTGCAGGAAAAAGTTTCGTCGTCGGGCCCTCCCCACGCGCTTATATTGCGGAGGTCTGCGCGGATTTCTTGGGTCGGCGCTGGAACCCCCTCCCCCCCTTGGCGCGCGAAGCGCGCCGGGGGGGGGCCCAGCGCCGACCCAAGAAATCCGCGCGGAACTCTGGGAGTGCACGCGTACTCCAGATTGTTCAAGAAGAACCCCCCCATGCCACTCCGCTCGACGGCCCGCCCCCCCCCCCCCCCACCCCACAACCGAATTCACCCCGATCCGCGATGCACCCCCTCACGCCTTGCGAATGACTGTCGGTTCCTGCCCCCCCCCACGCGATCCCCTCCCCCGCGCTTGTTGAACAGACATGCAGTTTGTTTCCCTTTCTGTTGTGGCTGCCCAGAGTGGACTTACAGAGGGCCGTGCCCTGTAGCTCCCGCCGCGGTCGCGGGTGAAGCCCGCGCCTGCCGCCCAGGAGCTGGGGGAGCAGATGTCCGATGAGGACGGGCTGCGCACGGGCCAAGGGGGGCAATTTTTCGGGGGGGGGGCAGGCTCGGGGGGGATTTATCGCCAACTGATCGGCGATACAGGTACCTAGGGGCCCAGTCGGATTCCAAGTCGATGTTTCTCCCCCTTGAGGCGGTCCCACCCCTATCGTTCAGGAGAGAGGCGAGGGGACGGTGGAGGGAAAGTGGGGCTAGGGAGGAAGGAGAGCAGAAGATGGAGGGAGGAGGCGGAAGAGGTGGAGGCGGAGGAGGAGGCGAAGAGACGGAGGAGGATGAGGAGGAGGAGGAGGAGACGAAGGAGGAGGTGAACGCTGCAGCTCCACTGCTGAAGTCCGCACGTAAGAAGGGAGAAGGAGGGGGAGGAGGAGGAGGACGGGGGGAGGAGAAGAAGGAGGCCGCAACTCCCGAGGGAGGGCCCACGTCCCCTGCGGCGGTGAGCACCCGAGTCCCGCGGCTCGTGGCCCAGCGGCGGTCGTCTGCCAACCTGGGAGGCGTGCAGTCCTGGCCTCGAGAGGGCGCCCTTGATTCGCAGGATACGTCGAGGGGGGTCATCAGGGGCAACGATGAGGGCGGTCATCAGGGGCAGCATTTGAGGGGGGACTATCAGGGCCAAGGTTGGATGGGGGTTATCCCAGGCCTCCTCGCGCTGCGGAAGCAAATAGCACGATTGTGTTTTGGCAGTTTTCGTCCTCGTGGAGCCCTCATCGGGCCCTGGGACCGTCAGGAAACGACTCGGGATTAAAAACCAGTCCTGGGGAAGGGGTCCAGACCTCTGGCGGACCACATGGTGAAAATCACGATGTCGGAGGTCTGGGGAGGGAGGTTATCCGACGGTGGGATTAGGGAACGAACCCAGCTGGATGCCCACATTTCCTTCTGCTCTGGGGCAACGCTCGTGGGGGAGGGGGTCAAGGGGCGACACATCGACCCCCAATGACTCATTCATCGCCGGCAGGGGCCCGACAGCCACCCCGGCCAGGAACGTGCGGATTCACTATCGGCGGCCTATCGCCGATCGGCGATGTGTATCGCCGATTCCAGCTCGATGTTCCCCCTCTTGAGCCAGATCCCCCCCTGATTTTGTCCCTCAGGTACGCATCGGGAGGGGAGGGTCTCCCAAGGCGGGGTCAGGGAACCCAAGCTGGATGCTCGCATTCGGTGGCGACGATGGCGCGGGCGTTCAAGGTTGAAAGCCCACCAGGGCCCACGGCGACGACGCCGACTGACCGGGACGGTGGGCGCAAGGTGGACGGTAGACCGGGAGAAGGGACAGCGAGAAACACTCTGCAGACGGAAGTCTGGCAGTGGGCGGCCGAGGACGGGGGCCAAGGGGCGCCTACGCAGTAGGACGGGATACGTATTTGGAATAAGAAAGCAGCACAGGCATAAATTCTAGACGATTCGCGTATCCCCACCAGTTTTGCCGATGGCACCCCTTCCGTGAGCGCCGCGCGGCCTGCCCCGGCTAGTCTCTCCTCTCGCTGCTCTCTTGTTGTCTCTTTTTCTTTCCTCCGGCAATTTAGGCTCCTGCTTGTTAGTTGTAGCTTTGGACGGCGCGCGGCCCTTCCGTTTGTGTTCGCGAACAAAAATATCCCCACCAGTCCATCCAGAAACGATGTCCAGGCGAGTTCAGGTGATCAGGGAAGTGCGGGAGCAAAGAGGTGGACGGACGGCCGAACCGTGCGAAGGAGGGAGGAGGAGAAGGAGGAGGCTGGATGGATGGATGAGGGAGTGGGGAGAAGGAATATGAATAGGACGAGGAGGTTGAGGAGGAAAAGAAGGAGTAGGAGGAGGAAGGAGGAGCAGAAGGAAAAGGGCAAGCAAAAGGATCAGAGGTCTCTTGGACGCCTCGGAGCCTCTTGGGATACCTCCTGGTCGCTTCTTGGAGGCCTTTTGAGACGTTTTGGGAGGCTCTCGGCGGTCCTGGGGGGTTTTTGGGCGTCTTGGGTGCCTCGGGGCTTCGGGCCATATTGTGGCCTCTTGGGGCTTCCTGGGCGCCTCTTGAGGCCATCTGGGAGGAGATCGATCAAAGAAGGAGGGAACTTCAATTAGCCTCCCCCCTCGGGAGCCCCACGAATCACCTCTTGGGCCCCTCTTAGAGCGCTCTTGGGGCCGTCTTGGGGCTCTCTGGGGCCTCTCTTGGGGCCCTCATGGGCCCTCTTGGAGCTGTCTGGAGGCCCCGGAATGCCATCGCAAGCGAAAGGCGAAAAGGCACAATTAGCTGATTTCCCAAAGGTTGTTGAAGGATTTTAGCTTCTTGGCGGCCTCCTAGGGAGGCTCCGTGACCACTCGGTGCCGTCTTGAAGCGGTCTTGCGGTCTCTTGGAGCATCTCGAGAGCCATCTTAACGCATCTTGAGATATTTCAGGCAATTTTAGAGATCATCTTGGGCTCGCTGAGGCCCTCTTAGAGCCATCTTGGAGGTGCAAACCCCTCCCTGAAGGGGAAGAGGGAGGGGTGGAAGAGGAAACGCCCTAAACCACCTACGCCCAGAGGGCTGGTGACTTTGCGGGTAGCTCCTTGGGATATGTTATATGTAAACGGGAGTATAGCCTGCGCGTCGCTACCTTCTGGCTCAAGGCACGCGCGCCCTATTTGCCCGGATACCTGACTTGGTATTCGCTATGTGCTGGAAAGACCGATGCATCGATCTTCTCCTACCTTACCCATCCACACCCCATATCGTATTCCTTCGACATGGACTTGGATGCAATATGACCTACCATAGTCATTTCAGACTTGGTAGCGGAGCTGGCCGCACTCTCGTGTGGTCTGCTCTTGCTCTTCTCATCCTTACGCTACCGGGCACGATCCTCGTGACCACCCCCTACCCTGCGCCACCACTCCACCAACATCTACGAGGAACAACCCAAGAGCAAGAAGCAACACGAGAGGTACGACGTCTAGACAAAAACATTGGTACCATATACGCTTCATCACTACGCTATCACCGACCGCTCGGCAACGAGCCGAAAGCGCAGCACCTGAAGCGCAAGCGGGGAGACCCGCAAGATAAAACGCCTCGCAGACTTGAGAAGGCGCAACTATACCCGCCCCAGCGCGGCAACGCGCCCGATAACCACCCATACCTCCACAGCCTGGGTTTAGTTATCTTCGCCATTATATGGTTTGCGCTGGGAGCGGCAATCGGATACATGCGCCGAGGAGACGACGGAACCGATGGGAAAACACATGGCCCATACTGGGATCCTCAAGGCAACGTACCCTTTCGCGGGTACGTCTACGAGGTCAACGCGTGGCTTAACGTCACGAGCGGGCGCATGACGCCACAAGCCCAAGCAGCCGCCATCCAACGCGGCCTGGGCGGCCCCGCGAGGACACTCGCCATGAGGGTACCACCTGACATCATAAACTACGGTGCGGACATCGACGGTGCCCACACCGACCCGGTAACATATATCATGTTCCTCCTAAGCATGAAGTTCGAACGCCTGGAGGATGAGCGCCAATTCACCTCAGGCACTCAGCTCGTCGACTTCCACGTGCCTCACGGAGAACGAATCGACGTAACCCTTACTCGGCTCGAAATGGCCCGTCTCGAGGCACAATCGGTGGGCTTTGACCTTCCTAACTTCCAACTGCTTACGACTATCCTATTCCGCGCCTTAGGCATCGGCAACCAGCGAGCCACGCAATTCTCACAACCACTGAACCACCAAATGCCCCGAACACAACAACAATATGAAGAGCTGTGTGAGAGGATGCGCTCGATTGGCCATTTGTCAGAACGGTATCCCGGCAACATAGGATCAGTGTTTGGTAGGGGAAGGGGAACTGGCAGTGAACATTTGTTCCCCATATCCTAAGTATGGGGTTCTTGTTATTGGCGGACCGCGCCGGAAGAACAGTCAGTCATAACACCTCACCTCACTTCCCTCGCTCAGATTCACTCAGACTCACTCAGACTCACTCATCACTCTGACTCACTCATCAGTCAGACTTACTCATCACTCAGACTCACTCATCATCACTCAGACTCACTCATCACTCAGAGTCACTCATCACTCAGACTCACGCATCATTCAGAGTCACTCAGACTCGTTCTGAGTGATGACTGAGTGGGGTTCTTGTTCCCCTTATCCTAAGATTCAGTCATCTCTCAGACTTACTCATCACTCAGACTCACTCAACAACCAGACTCACTCATCACTCAGACTCACTCACCACTCAGACTCCCTCATGCTCAGTTTTTTCTCACTCAGAGTTAGTCATCACTTAGAAGGCCCCGAGAATAACTTATCACTCAGACTCGGTCCACTCATCAGATGATACACGCTGATGTTGAGGATGTCTCAGGCGATTCTGTGGCTTCAGCACTCCTAAGGGGGCGGCGGGGAGTGGTTTCACGGGGTCCCGTTCGCGGAATTTTGTGGGGATGTCTCAGGCGGTTTTGGTTTTTTCTCCTTCAACATGTTTCGCGTTCGGAGCAGATTTGGAGGATGTCTCAGGCGATCCGCTGGTTTCGGCACTTAAGGGGGTGGCGGGGAGTGGTTTCACGGGGTGCCGTTCGCGGAATTTTGTGGGGATGTCTCAGGCGGTTTGGCCATTTTCTCTTCCAGCATGTTTCGTTGTCGGAACAGATTTGGAGGAAGAGGAGGAGGAGGCAGGAGGAAGAGGAGGAGGAGGAAGAAGAGGAGGAGGAGGAGGAAGAGGAGGAGGAGGAAGAGGAGGAGGAGGAGGATGATTATGATGATAATGAGGAGGAGGAGGAAGAGGTGGAGGAGGAGGAGGAGGCTGAGGAGGAGGAGGGGAGGACGAAGCAGGGGAGGAGTAGGAGTAGGAGTAGGAGGAGGACGAGGAGGATGATTATGAGGAGAAGGAGACGAGCATGAGCACGAGTAGGAGCAGGAGAAAGGGATGATGATGATGATGATGATGATGATGATGATGATGCTGATGATGATGATGATGATGATGGTGATGCTGGTGATGATGATGATGATGATGATGGTGATGATGATGATGATGATGATGAT